ATTACAGTTGAAAGAAAATAGGAAAATACAAGTATTTTGTTTTAATTCAATGCTGAGAAGTTACTGGGGTGGCTTTGAGAACTATTAAATTATTTCTTCAGATCCTCAAATAAATATTTGTTGGTTAATCAATGTTGTTATTGTGTATTGGAGATGTCTCTACATCTGTTGTTATTTTTGTTAAAAATTTAATTTCATTTCATTAATTTATACTGCTAAAACAACAGGCTTCAGCCCAATTAAAGAATAACAGTTTTATCACATACAGTACACATACAGTACACACTTGAAATTACTTCCGAAATTACCTAAAAAAATTGAAAACAAAGAAAGATTCACAACACAGTCCACTAACATGGCCACGTTAATTATTTTAAAAAGTGGAAAATATACAATTAAGTAGATAATAATTAATAATTAGCAACAGTGCCTTTTATTCTGCTACTACTAGAAATGAAAATGTCAGTATCCCAGCAGTTAATATGCTCATTTACAGATTTCTGGCATCTTACAGAAGGTGAGCAGGATGACACATCTATATAAAAAATATGATTTCGCTTACGTGATCTTACTTCAGGTACATGTAGTTTTATTGCAAAGAGTAAATCAGGTACATTTAGCTTATCATTAACTATGTCTGATACAAACAGCACATCCGCGATATTTCTCCGGAGCTGTAGTGTGTTTTGATTCAATTCTGATAGTTGAGTTTAGTATGGAATCATTAAGGTGGATACTCGATATTTCCTGTAATAAAGACTCCTCATGAACTTTTTTTTGTACCTTCTCAATCATTTCTGAATGAACAACGGTATGTGGATTCCAGATGATTGAAGCATATTCTAATTTTGGTCTTACGAAGGCATTGTATAAAAGTATGGCGCACATTCATACAAAGGATGAAAAAGTGGACATGCTGATTAATTATGGATATTGTATAAGAAATGCCGTTGCGACTAGAAACCTCCATGCCGACCGATATCCTGATAGACAATGTCCAGCGAGGAATTATCTTAATCGTCTTGAAGATTGAAAACGTAATTTCGACGGATGGTCCGGTGCGATGACATCCAAGGTCACCTGATTCGACACCTCTTGACTACTCTGTTTGGGGCCATTCAAAGAACATTGGCTATGCAACTGCTCAACAATCAGCGAACATTCTTCAATAAACAGCTATGCGAGTTCAAAAGTGCATTGACGTTGATGGAAAGCATTTCAAACAATCGTTATAATTCATTTTGTTCATTCCTTCCAATTCAATGCCACCTTAGTGACTTTTGAGCATCAAATTGGAATGAATTATTTGTATTTTCTCATTTTCTTCTGATTGTTTTTTGATTTTTTTTATCGCACATTCTTTTACTGGGTATGAATGAATCTCTCATTGATAATACTTATGAATAGTACCACGACAACATTATGGTTCCATATTGAGAAAAATCAAGTTTTTGTACATACAAGAAGCAATTTAGTATTCCCGATAGGACCTCTGTTTTTCCAGCATCAGACGGGTCGAATGTAATGAATCTAAATGATTTTCCACGTTTGAAGTGTCACTCGCATGGTATAATTTTTTGTGAATTGATAATGATGCAGCCCTACTTTTATGAATAATAGGTGCATTGCGAACGGCAGCTCTTCGTCAGTAGGCACTATGGGTTCGAGTTATCAAAATGAGTTAAAATAGCAAAAATTCAGTTATCTAGCAATCATAAGGTTAAACAAAAAAAAAGGGGCGCCACTGCAACTTTTAATTCGAATGAAATGTTACCTGGAAAGTTGAGCAACCAGATAATGAATAATATTAGTTGTTCTCCCAGACTAAAAGACCTAAATTTACCTTAGAGATGTTGTGAGTTGGAGTGTCATGTCAATAAACAGATAAAACAGTCATATACAATACCCAAAACATTTAATTTTGATGATAGGACTCATATATCATATCACATGGTTTTGACAAATATGAAAAGAATATTAGATAACTTATTTCCTGTTAAGAAATTACACTGTTGCCTGCTATTATGTGGATGAAAATATATATAAATCAACTTTATATTGTACTTGAAAACTCAAAAGGACGTTTCATATTCATAGCAGATTTAAAAAAATATTGAATGTGGAGGAATTCTACCAGCGCATAGTATACTATGTGGAGGGGAAGTATATACCTTTCATGTGTGATTTCATCAATTTATGACCTGGCTATGATTTAAAAATGGTCCATTATACACACTAGCAATAGGCATTATGAGTGAATAAAAATTAAAAATAAAAATATATTTTTATGTCAAAAACCTGTATGGTGTGTCCTACACCAGTTATCCTTGATAAATGGCTTTAGTGCCACCAAATGAAGCTTCTGAGGTGAAGATTGGCGGAGAGCGGGGTGCTGACTTCACATCCCTGGATGTCAGATGACATTGACAGAGTTGTCGTATTTCCACCTTGAAAATCCATCATCAGGAAGAAGCAGGGGACGATATCCAGATTCCAGATTCCAGACTACTATTTAGCCACCAAAGGCCTTGTAGAATTAACAGATCCTGGTCGAGCAATGACTCCTGGGAAGAATAGTGCTCCTGGTAGGATAACTCCCGTTGTTGAACTCCCAGTAAAATCCTCCCGGTGAAAAAACCCTTCTATGAAGGGTTGGGGATTGAAATTATGATGAAGGTAGGCACGTGGCTGCCTGGGTAATGAACCATGAAGATCCTGCCTCTTAAACCAAAACCAGAAAAATCTGTAGAGTCCAGCAGTCCTTGTAGATCAGCAGCAAATACAGGATATCCTGATGTGATCCAGAACGCCAGGCGGTACAGGACTTCAGAAGCCGGTTCACACCACAAAAATGGCACTTGACCACCACGAAGAATTTTCTGAAGAGAGCTCTTGTCTCACGACCAGAAAGGAAATCCCTTCTCCAAATTCCAAATCCAAACTTCGAGAACAACCTAACAGTTTCCGCTTTTCAAATTGGCGGAAAATTTGAATATCCAGAATAAAAGACGTTATCGCTACTCCCTCCAGAGACTTGATTCTTCCCAGATGTCTATCTGAACCAATCAGAATTGATGACCAAAATGACGTCACACCTTTCTTCATGCATACTCGGCTTGTTGGTTCGACGATGATGATCTAAGGACATATCAATCCGAATCGGCGTTTGGCGCATGACAAGTTTGACACTGTTGACATGGTGTCATGACCAACAGCTAATTGACGTAAAGCGAAATAACAGATCAACGAAATCAAAACATCAACCCCAATTTATCAAATGCAACAATCAAGAAAATAATGCCAAACGAAGTTAATTGATTCACCATGGTCGATTCCTAGTGAAACCATCCGCATCAGCGTTCCTGGAAAATCCAATACCTCTTGTCCTACTGTGATGAAGTTTCGAGTGGAAATAGCAGTGTGAAAAGTGAGTATGAGAATGTCTATGAAATGGTATTTCATATTACTTTATATTATTTATCTCTTTCAGATAAGTTTCTGTAAAAACCATCCGAATCATCCTTCTACTTGGATCACAACAAAGCAGATATAGCAAGAGATATCAGTGTATTTATAGAAATTGTATTTTTATTTTATGTACAGTGTGAAATCTTAGGTGTGTATCCACATATCAGGTTTGAGAATAATTAAATAATATGAAGCAGATTGAGTTCAATTTATGTTATTGAAAAATGTTAACCATGTTATTGTGACAAAATATCCTGTCAGATGTGCTCAGCAGTACAAAATAGTATAGAATCAGACAAAATATACAGTAGTGAATATTTACATGCTACAATGATTTTCAGGATTAGGTGTGCCCCATGTGGGGAGAGTACATACAGTTGAAGAGGAAAATTAAACATAAACAAATTGGCAGGTAATCAGAATGAAAGACATGAGATGGTGCTTGTTAATCAGTTGACATTGATTGAAAAGGATTCCTCCAGGTCGTAGCAGAGAGGCAGAGATCTCTCTCAAGCCCAAAACGTGTGTGGAGCTTGAACCGAGAACAAAGCCTATAAGGGTCATGTTGGTGAATGGATTGACTTGTGTCTCAAGCAGGATCAATTCATATGGCTTTCAAGTTCGAATGTGTCGATGGACATCGTCGATGTTCTTTCTCAGATCACACATGTTACATGGGTCTATTCTGAGACTTTTGTTAGCCGATGCTGAAATACCTCTAGCCCCTTCCAGCCAGAAATTCGGATGAAGGGGTTTTCATATTCCGGATAATTTTGCTTGAGGAGAACTCATCATCCTCCTTCAATATACTGAATGGAAATAAGTTTGGCGTAGAAAGATGAGGGAATTGGATTGAGTTGGGTAGGCTGCGATCATCAACCAGCACTACTACATGGGTATCACTTATTTCCCAGCGCCTGAGAAAGATGTGGTGGTATCGCACCAAGCAATGGTGTTGCCATTTTCCAACTATTGGCGTCTTTTTAGTCCCAATCTACGACATGCCAGACTCACCATAGGGTTATTTTAATCAGACCGCCAAATGGTTATTAATTATTGGAAATGAGAACAATAACAACTTCTTGGATCCTTCGATTTACGATATTACCATCATTGACGTTCACAGAAGACAATGCTTTCGACATACTATGACACTCATTTGTTCGAAAGCAATTGTTGTTCCTAACCAATAACACAAACTGTCTGACCTATCTCAAGTGATACATGATCGATTGTTGTAGGAAAGGTTAACTCAAAGTCGATTATTTTCACGTGTAATACCAAACAGGTTCGATTAAAAGAGTCACTTCTTGTTGAATAACCAAACCAGTTTCTGGTATGTTAAATGTCCTTAAATATGAGTTGGCCGACCAAGCTTTCTAGTATACAACGTGCCGCGCTTGTTGGATAAACTAATTTAAGGGACCAAATCATAACGTCGGATTCCTCGAAGTCTTGTTTTCTATATCATCAAATGAAGTGCTCATCAGTGAGACACCTGGTATAGTATCTACATATGTTCGCGTACAAACCTGCAGATTTTATGGCACCTTCTTCCGTTGTCAACCCCACTACTGATGGTACGTCCAAGAGTTTTCCAGACTTGATTATCTCTAGAGGATGTTCCGTGAGGAAAGCTCCATTGCTGTCGGGTTCAACAATGGGTCTAAAAGGCAGCAATGGATCGTAGTCCCAAAACTAATAATAAAATAGATTATTACATTATCATGGCTCATGCTATATGGATATCATGATGAAACTCAAATTATTTTTTTGAATACTTTGAATAAAGAAATCTGACTGAATAATCTCTCTTATATTGAGTATTGAATACAATCATTCTCAGCTGAACTACCTGTCTGATAAATTTAATGCGTTCGATAAGTGGCTAAAGATATTTTGGAAGTGAAAAATTGGTGTGATGCAGATAAATTATTATTCAATATTTCTAAAACATGTATCTTGACGTTCAATTGCACTCTTAATGATATACTCTCGGAAAACTCAAGAATTCGTACTCAATCATCGGCTAAGTTTTTAGGGCTCTATGTGGATGACAGTCTCTTATTCAACACCCACATTACAAATTTATGCAAAAAATCATCTTCTGGTTGTTTTGCAGTAAGAGTCATCTCATCTGAATTGAATATATCTGCAGCAAGATCAGTTTATTTTGCCCTGATTGACTCAATTTTGAGATATGGAGTTTGTTTTTGGGGGGATAGTTCTCAATTTCTTCTGTGTTCATATTACAAAAGAGGGCGGTTAGATACCTCAGTAAAGCTAAATTCAGAGAACCATGTCAACCCTTATTCGTGAAATAGAAAATACTGACATTGACTTGCATCTTCATTCTAGACAGTGTATTCATTCGATGCCGGTATACAACACAAGAAATGTTGACTGTACGGTTTCCCTACTAATTCCTAGAAGTACATTGATAAAAAAATCTTTTATTTATAATGCCAAAAAAATGTTTGATCACCTGCCTTCACATATTCGTTCATTGCTGACAAATATATCGAGTTTAGAAAGGCAGTAAAAGAGCTACTACTGAATAAAGCCTATCATACCTTGCAAGAATTTGATGAAGAAGCATTTAATTAAGTTTGTCAGTTTGTATAATTCGTTTTTATTTGTTCAATATCTTTTTTTATAGTGTGACTTCTACTAGCATCTGTTCTACTTAAATGTTTCGTTCCATATATATGTGCATATTTTACATGATTTCATGTAGTTTCTATATAGTTATAGTTATGATACACATACTTTGTCAACAAATACTTGTGGTTTTTAGTACAATAAAGACTTTCTTCTTCTTCTTCGATATATTCTCTTCCATCCATACTATCAATCTCTGAGAAACCTACTAGAGAAATTCGATTCCTTTTTTCAATCTGTCACATTCATGAGGAGATATTTAATATACAGGGTGATCCACGTTTGAGTTATGACGACTGCGACAATTCTTTCAAATGGAACCAATATATTATTGAATTTTGCTGATCCTCATGGGGGACTGTATTCAAAACTATGTTCATCTTTGTGAGGGTTTATATGCAGTGCGCCTTTTGATTTCAGTGGTTTCGTGAAATGGGGTTGCCATTGAGAAATTATGTATGGATCAATTGAATCTTGAAGAATGCCTGAATGAACATAAAATCCTGAGGCTCTGAGAAGTGTTCTTCCAAAGTATATTTTTCTTCAATTTTCAACGAGTCAATTCACGAAAGCAATCAATTTGATGGAGATTCCAGACATTGAATAGTATATAGAGTATTCTAAATGAAGAAAATTGTCGAGGCCGTCATAACGTCATAATATAACCTCATAACTAGCGTGGATCATTCTATATATTTGATTTTCCCATATGAATGTAGCAAATTGAAGATGAAAATCGACTGGTTTCAGAATATTCCTCAGGAATCAATAGTTAGGTAAACATGACAGACGCATTGTATTCAAACCCTATATGTAATAGATTTTTGAATTCGAATTTTCATGGTGATTCCAAGATCGAATGAAATATAGGTTGTTTTATTTGGAAAAATAATCGCGGTGGCCTTCGATGCTATGGTAACGATCAACTGCATTCATCAAAACATCGGAACTATACCTCATACCTACTGAGATTTTCAAATTAACAATGATAACAATGATGTTATTCTTCCTGGCTCAGTTCAGGAAGTTCGTACTTTCCATGAAGTTGCCGAAAAAGTAATCTTCTCTTCTAATGAGACGGGAATAAAATGACAATCAGATATATTTATTCTCTGTCTGACAATAGAGATAACTATTTATGGTTGAAACTTCAGGAAATTGAACATTCTCAATAAAATACGTTCATTGTCTGTTGGTTGACTGAGCAGACCAATACAATCGGCATTATTGCGATGCTATGAATGTTGTAGATTTCAAATGACAAAATCATTTCACGGTGAGCTAAAACAAAGAGAACAGAAGGGGCTACAAGACATTCAACATGCTCCATTTACAAGTTCTAAGTGAGCTTACATTGAAGATATCCGACTTTTCAACGATGGTTTTGGGGTCGAATTTCCTGAGGCACTCCAACATATCGGCAGATGATTTCGTTGGACAATTCAGAGATTCGGCCAGCTGTTTCGAATAGGTGTGGCCCATGCTGTTCTGATCAAAAGCCCACGGGCACAAGGCAGTACCACTTTCCATGATGGCACCATGGAAAAGACCTAAAGGAATTCGACAGCTTTGAAATTGCTTCGTCAAATTTCAATATGGAAATCGCGACAGAAATTGCATCCGATACGTAGCACATCTTCGTCCAATCTTGTGAATGATGTATTGTATAGTACTTTTTTGCTACTGAAAAGATTCTGAACTCTCGCAAAGAAACCTGCTGAGACAAATATTGATTTACTTGTGATTTACTATGAATGTCCGTTTCTCTGGCTCAGTCATAACCTGATTTATTCATTTATTTATTCATTCATTCATTCAAGGGTACTTCTAACCCAATTCAACCATAAACTTTGTAAAAAGATTTGGATTGTACAGTGAATTGTAACCTCTAGGGATGAGCCACAATAGACCCATTTGGGGTCGCAGTGGAGGGTAGGTGTTCGCCCCACTCACATGGAACCTAACCTAACCGAATCCTAACTAACATATTGATAGATCGATTGAATACATACAAACTTTATGCATATACTTACATAACGAATATACTAGATTGAAAAATTCGATAACTTTGTACTGACAACTACTCATATGCTGAGAACATCACAAAAAAATATATTCATATATGATCAGGTATCATTATTCATTACAAACCTCCTGTAAGCTTGTCTGACGCATGTCAAAACTTGCTACTACTAGAGTCCCTGTATGTATAATTCCCTGTTTATATCTGACAGTTTTGTTGTAATAAGAGAACGGACACTATGACAAGCAGTGATGAAAGGCATAACCTCAAATTCTCAAAATGACTTTTGAACAAAGACATAGATATGCTTTTCCATGCACTTCGGATCTTCTATCCTCTACTGCCGCGGTGGAGGGTACATCCATATATCTTTCTCTGTCTTTATTTTCATAAAGAAGTGGCGTCTCATCTCACTGGCGAAGAGGGGTCATAGTTTGTAAATCAATCTGTTGAAAGTATTTCTCGATATACTTAACAAAGGGTATATGTACTTCAATTTATTTGATCTCAGGATGCACTAGTCTGTCAATAGATAGAATCAGGATTTAGTAGCCAGTTCTGATGGTCAGAATGTAAATGAATGGGAAGAACAATTCAACCAATTAACAAACGTATATTTGTTCTCATAACATACTAAGACACTTCATAGGGCATGAACGAACAGGAAATTCGACAAATACAAGTATAATGATTATAATTCAAGGAAAGTATATCCTATGACAAGAATACAAAATTTCAAATAATGGTAGAGTAAAGTGGGGTAATATATGGCAACATAAAATTTAAATGCTCACAATCTACACATCAATTTTATGACCAAAGCTTCTTCGACACTCTCTACATTCCATCTATCACCATTATCATCCATTATATTTAGAATTATGGGAAATATGTTGCTCATAATGAATAGCAACTCTACTTAGAATACCTTTTAATTAGTAATCGATTCCATTGATTCGCGTTTCAAAATACTGGAATTGACTATAATTTTGGTTGAAATATATTCCGGAACTATCAATTTGGGTCTTGAGTCGATTCAAAATGGCCTGTATTCTTGCATTAGCAGTTTCCTCACACTCTTCCAAAGATTTTTGATGGGATAGTTGAAGATCTAAAATTATTTCCCTATAATAGTTGTGAATATTCGTAACTTGCAGTCTTGTTCCAGAATCTCTTTGCTTCAAGCTATTTTTCAAATGTTCGTCCTTTTCTTTGATTTTTTTTTCTGTATCTTTCATCATTGATTATTAATAAATTTCGAATTTCGGCATATCTTCTCTCTAAATCTTCGATAATTTCTTGTTTGTGATCCAAAATACATTTAATTTCATCTCGGTATTCTACTCGAATTTTTCCTCGTAAAAATTGTCCTGAATTCGATAAGGAATGTCTTCGATAATGCTTCTGATGATGGAATGAAGACTCCGCATTTTCTTTCAATTTGATGGTATGTTCCACTATGAAATCTTCACATTTGAAGTGCACCTATAATGTTGAATTGAAATTATAAATGATATTATTCCTTCGAAGATGCATCATATTCAATCGAAAAATTCAAATATTGAGTACTTCTACTTCGCAAATTGATACCTGAATTCAATTTCCATAGTGGCCGCTTCATATTTTTTTTCCATTTCTGTAACTGTTGTTGGTTAGAATGGAGAAAATGGAATAAATGAAAGGATTCGCTTCCATTTTTGCAATTCTCCACTGCACAATTAGACATTTTAATTTTTGAAAACCTGAATTTTCAAATGATTTAATGTCATGTACGTTCATGAACTGTCAGTGCCAACCAAATTGTTCATGTCATTTCAAATTTTTTAGGGTTATGCCTTCTGTCACTGCTTGTCATAGTGTCCGTACTCTTATTACAGCAAAAGTGTCAAATACATACAGGGACTCTAGCTACTACTACTCATATACGTATTGATAATCAATACGGATAATCTCTATCTGTTTCCATAGCGAAACATGAAGCCGATTTTTGAAGACAAATGACTATCCATAAGGAAACGTTTTGAAACGATCAGACACATACTGCTTTGATTGAAAGGCTAGTAAACGTCATTGTCCACCGAAACGTATGTCTTTGATGACTACTATAATAGCGCATGGCACCAAATCCTTATGGATATTCATTTGTTTCATATTTTTGGCTTCATCCTGGCACCCGTTATGATCCGTTTTGTTTATTAATACGTATATGCTACTACTATGGATATCACAGTCTCTACATATTTCATTGAAATTCGAACACATGATGTTTACAGGTGACTTCAACATTAAATTTGTATTTGCACGACTACATAAAAATTTTTTAGTTTGACGAGGCCCAATTCGTGGAACATAAAAAATCATTTTTGATACTATATCTGGACAATCAATTTTATGGTGTACTATTTTGTATAGAAATGTTATTGACAATATTTGGCGAAGCTCAAGACTGCTGAATTCAAAAATTTCGAGTGTATTCCTATAATTTTGTCTCCTATATAGGTGGATATACAACAGAATTTTTCTATATTAGGAATTTCAAGGATTTTCTCTGTACTTTCTCTACTTTATCACTATGAACCTGATAGTGTGGATTCCAAATCATGAATCCGTATTCAAGCTTCGATCTTACAAAAGAATAGTATAATGTTTTCATTACATGCATATCCGTAAATGATCTACAGCTTCTAATTATGAATCCAAGAATTTTGAGAGCCTGAAAATTGTGCATCAGCATAGCTCTTCTATCTATATCATTCGAATGGAAATTAAGCAAGTTGAAGTCAACCATTATTAGTTTTTTTTCTAACATGAAACTAAATTTTTCAAATGATTCGAGGATTAGTCCATGGCGGATAGAGGAAGTCAAGGTGAGTTGATATATGTGTGAAAACATATTCTGCCTATTCCTAACAGAAAAACAGGGCATTATTTGAATTTGGGGCGCAACTTTGCTGAACGATATTTCAGGAATGTCTTGATATTTTCGCCTGAAATTCACCAGCAATTCAGCTCTACTGACACACCACATGATAGCCTACTATGAATGGAAAAAAATTAGAGCCGGACTTGGAAAACTCATGTTCTCTTTAGATTTTAAGATTCCGACTCTCTACTTTTGGGTGTATGATAAATTGACATTCATCATACAGGGCGTGGAAAGAAATTCTGAATTGAGACTCTATCACGAATCTGCGATTAGAGGTCTATAAAAATCACAAGTTTCCATCGTTCAAGTTTGAACCCCCTGGTTGGGTATGAAAGTGTTGAAAAAAAATATTCTCAGATGAATTATGGACATACAAAAATGGATATATATTTATATGAAGCAATACATTGAGAATTCGCATTCTCTATGTGATGAGAATATCTACTCTTTTTCAGTTTATCCAATTGAAAACAACTACTTTCTTGAGAAACTTTCATCAGAATCAGAAAGATCAGGAAAAACACTACGAGTGTAGCTCTTCAATTTGTACGACACCCTTCCACCGGATTGGTGAAAAAATATCAAACAAAATTCAGACGAATATTTATCCGATTTCGACCGGGAAATCACTCTCTACATTCGATTGAAAGTATTCGAATCAGTTTTTCTGCATATTGATATAGCAGCAGAGTTGATCAAGAGTATTTATAAAATATCAGGACCAGACTTAGTTTCTAGGAAGAATCACAAAACATTATAAATTACGAGCAATATTATTAGTTCATATATTCCAATATTTTTCAACGGAAATTCTCGGAATGTGATCTTCTGCAATTTCTATACATTTTCTGCATATCTTCGGAAGATCTCTTATGGTTTTTCGAATGAGTTTCCTATTATTTCTGATCATATTCAAATCTGTAATAGTCCTCTTCCTCAGTTCCTTTCTGGTGTTGATTTCAGTCTGATATACCAATACTTTCATGGATAGACAATTGTCTAATATTGTGAGGTAAGGGGACCTAGACGGCCAAGAATGAGGGTCGCAAGGAGCTATTTAGCGATTATAGAGAATTGTTTGTCTAGGTATTCTCTCACTTGTATTGAGTAATGTGGAGGCGCTCTATCCTGTCAAGAAAATATACCTATTCATGTTCATTTTCATACATCCATCACAAAATTCTTTTGTAGTTTTCTCTGGATAATTGAAACACCAAACTCACAATTTTATTCGCTGATTGTAGTATGAGTTGGTACGTTTATCTGATTCGAAAAAAATATTTCACCAAAGCATTATTGTTTCACATCTCCTTATCTCTTGGAGCGCACAGAAGGACTTTCCAATAATGTTCGAAGAACATCGGATAGGGAAAGGGGGTAGGCATTGTTTTTTTGAAGAGTTATACTCGTATTGTTTTAACGAAATCATGGAATCGTTCATCAGCATTTTGATCGATATTTTCTCACCAATCCGGTGGAAGTGTGCTGTACAAATTGAAGAGTTATACTTGTATTATTTCTCCTGATCTTTCTGATTCTGATGAAAGTTCTTGACGAAAACGTCTCAGAAAGTCGAAATTTTGACATTTAAAAAGAAAATGAGTTCTCCAAGTCCGGTTCTGGGAGTTTCCAACATAGTTGATCATCTTGTGGTGTGTCAGTGAAGGTTAGTTGCTGATGAATTTCAGACGATAATATCTAGACGTTCCTGAAATATCGTTCATCAAAGTTTCACGGAAAAAAAGGATTGTTTGCATCAACCAATTGATGATTGAACTGAGCAATTTTTCGTTGAATCAACCTGATACATGATTATTTCATGAGAGCAGCTTGTTCAAATCGAGAATGTAGTCTTATTGAATAACAGTACAATATCGATTCCATCAACAAAATATATGGTTTCCTCAAGAACAAATTATTTCGATCCATAATGATGCCGATGTTGATTCAACTATAAACATTTTGTTGATCTGATGAAATAATGATCATTTTGATGAGAATTTATTTCTGAAACAACATACAAGTTCTCTTATTCCGATGTAGCAATGAACTCGTTTCGAACGGATCATTTGCTTGGATAGAGCAACGACAATTTCAATGAGGTATTTTGTTCATTCCATATCAACTTACATTTTCTCCTTCAGATGGCGATCATTTCGCCTCGATAAATCTAACTTAAGATGATTAGCAATCCCGAATAGTTTTGCTTCAGCTGAAGGGAAGTAGAGACTGATGATCTATGCTAGAAGTTGACCAGTTTCCTAGTTCAGTTTATTCTTTTTATGTGAAATTTCAGAAAACTCCCGAATTAATACTGAATTTCATTCAACAAAACAATTTGTCGAATGAAAATACAATTTTTCTTGAATCAACGAAATATTTCATTGAATCAACGAAATATTTCATTGAATTAACCATCTATTTCTTTGAATCAACCAAATATTTGATTGAATCAACTAAATATTTGATCGAATCAATATCTTGTTATTTTGAATCGAACGATATGATTGTTTGAGCCTAGGATCCTGAGTTCATACAAGACATATTTACTCAATTCAAACTTCAAATTCGCTCTGAAACAAGATTATAGATTTATTCATCCCAAGATCATATTTTGTCGTGCATATATGACACTTCATTCAATTAAATTTTGCTTGATTCAACAATTCCCTTTTTCCGTGTTCGCCCCGAATTCAAATATTGCTCTGTATTTCTCTCACGAATAGGCAAAATATATATTTCCACAAATATATCAACTCACCTTGACTACCTCTATCTACCATCAGGCTATGGCTGGCTACCCACCCTGTATGTATGAACTCATGATGCAAAAACAAACGAATCTGAGTAGGCAGTCTTACCTCTACTGAGTGGCGACATCATGTGAAAATGTACGCTGGCACCACCGGCGGATTCGCCAAAAATTGTGACGCTGTTTGGATTTCCGCCAAATTTGGCGATATTCCTCTGCACCCATTTTAGGGCCAGAACTTGGTCTTTCATGCCGTTGTTTCCAGGTGCGACTTCGTCACCAGTACTCAAGAATCCGAGGGCACCTATGACGGAAGAAAACAGATCAGTGTTGGTTGAGTTCTTTTAGGAAAAATCACATTTAATTCGATATGTTGAACAGCAGTTTTCGATCTGTGAACGTCTGTGCAGATGAAAATAAGGAAACATTTTCCTATCAACATGTGTTCAAAAATATTATATATATGAGGGCACTGAAGCCCTTTGGAGGTAAGTCCATGACGCCTATTTTTTTCATTCAATTTGTGAGCATTAGTCCTAGAACCAGGAAGTTAAGGCCGTAGTGATACAAAGCCGATTGATCGTCAGAGCCTCAATAAAATGCCGCTAGTTAGCGTTGGCGCTGGTGTCGCTGGTGTCGCTGGTGGCGCGAAGTTCAAATTTGCAGATGGCGGCGGCGCTGATGGCGGTAAATTTGAAATTGTGAGGTTATGACATCTTAATCATGATGAATTTTTAAATAAATAAATTAAAAAAAGCTGTCACCGCCGGTGGGGGAAATTGAACCAGGGACCTTTGCATTATGAGGCAGCGTATATACGCACTGCGGTATTCCGACCTCCGTGATATTTCAATTATTTAAATGCTATTCAAACGGGATATCCATTGCTGGCGCGCGCGCGCGCTTATCTTTGCAACGGATCTATCGAAGTAGTGTGAAGCGAGAGATGCATTCCAGAGATAAGAAACTTCGAGTCGAAAATAATATCCATCGCTGGCGCGCGCGCTTATCTTTGCAACGGATCTATCGAGGTAGTGTGAAGCGAGAGATGCATTCCAGAGATAAGAAACTTCGAGTTGAAAATAAATGAATGCGCGCATCGGTGGTCGTCTCCTCGCTGCTGTTTCGTCACACCAATGCTACAGATCCGTTTCAAAGATAAGAGAGAAGGCCCGAGCGCTCGGCGCTGCAACGTTGTCGGACGTATGTGTTTGGATGTTAATATTGTTACATTATTGTGTGTGGCAACGCTGTCTCGCTTCATGGCGTTCGAAGATCTAGCAAAGCGAGAGATCCCTCAGAATGATAAGCGCGCGCTCGTATTGGAAACGAATACTTGGATTATTTATTTATTTTAAAGTGGGTGACGTCATGCCGTTACCTTCATAGCGTTCGAAGTTCCAGTAAAGCGAGAGATCCCTTAGAATGATAAGCGCGCGCTCGTATACCCATTCCTCAAACTGCGACTTCAATGACAAAAACAAGATTGAATTTTCATATACAGGGCGTTTGAGTTGATTGATAATTGAAAAAAAATATATATACAGGGCGGCCCATGGGGGTGAAAGAATACGAAAACGAAGATAAATAATCTATTTATTTAAGTAATCCTTTTCTACAAAAATGACATGCCTCTTGAGAAGATGGCGGTCCATCCCAGTGTGTGGTCCAATCGGGACGATTATAATGAACGAAGCATGGCAGTTTGATTTGTAGGTTAAAGTTGCTGCGATATTCTTGAGGAAGTTTGTGCCACACCCTTAATAGCCCATAAGGATCTGCATATTCAATGAGACATTCTACTGGAATGTACTGCAATTCTTGTTCAGTGAATTTCGTCAAAGTCAAAGCGGGAGATTTTATAAACTCCAATAGCACAGCTATTTCAGACTTCATGATTTTTCGAGCAGAGCTAAAATATTTCAGATGCTACTAGTCTCGCGTCAAGTTGTAGACTGATGAAATGAAAAAAAACTAGTCACATTTTTCACAACATTTTATTCAAATCAGACATAACCTCATTTTTACAATAATATAGATATTCTCTGAGAGCGTTACTAGACATGCTATCACAAACATCACAAAATCCAGATATAAGCTCTTCCGCACCCAAATCAGTCAGGCTATTTCTAATCCAATCGGCTATAGTATTCAAAATGTTTTGATAATACATGGAAAAGTCCAATTTGTTTATTAGCGCAACTCGATGTGAAACAACACACGTTTCAGCACTCAAAATGTCTGCAACATCCTCTTCCACCAATTCGAATGTAATGTGGTATTTGGTGAGTGACAACATTTTGACACCATCGCAAACGAATATTTTAGATGAATGGACTGATCCGAATATCTTGGTGGATAGACTGAGATATTTAATGGAATCAGATAAGAACAACGATGAGATTGCCTTTATTCTTACTGAACTTGAAGATGTTGGTATAATATCTAAAAAATAAATGATGTCAAATTATCCGTTTTTTATTCAACACCTGCTAGGCGAGTAGACTCACAATGACTACTCAACTTGGCATACAAAAATATATATTTAAAAACCCTGTATAATGACTGGTAGGTAGTGTAATGAAATCATAAACTTGGTTGACTTGCTGACTGTCTTTGGTCGACTGTCATTTTTACGATGATAATCACTCTAAGAGTCACAAAAATGAAAAACGAGGTAGCGACATTTCTTGCTGACCCGCCCTGTATAGCAGAAATATTTTTTAGTGTGAGATATTGAATATTAGGTCTAGGACTAAAAACAGCTCTTGTTTCAGCTTGAACAGCTGTTTTTTGTGTGATTTCGATAGTTCCTTGTATCTCATATGGAACGATAAGAGAATCAATAATAATAGGATTATTTCCTTTATTATCCGTTAATTTTAGTCTATAACTCAGCTGATTTATTCATCTTCCTAGGCTTTGAAAGAATATGATTTTCTGTATACGCCAAATATAGAACAACCAAGATAACGGCATCCTGTTTGAACGCTCCAACTTGAACAGCTGTTTGATTTCGGTAGTTCGTTGATTTCGTGAAAAGACGATAAGAGAACCCGTGTATGTCTTTTATACCAACTCGTTAATTGTTGTCTATAGCTCATCTATTGTAAGAGTATCAGATTTTGAAATATACGGCGGATTCAGTGGCAGATAAAATGCATAACAATGCTTGAATATAATATGCACACATGAAGATAAGCCTCTCAATGTATAGGGTGAATCAGTCAGTATAGTCGGACAGTGGACTGAGTTTTACAAAAGAATCATATTATGTGATGCATGAAAGAAATGCTCAATAGATCATATTATCAATAAGCCAAAAAGGAGCAACAAGTTGTGTTCTTCTTTGCCAGTAGTCGGACACTTGTCTTTTATCGTGCAGAGTGAATGAAAGCACTCAAGTATGCTGCATAAGTTAAATCATACGAGCATTCTGTGTGAGTTATATACTACGCGTTTTCTATGATTACAGCAAAACTCTTCAGCTTGCTGATTTTCTCACAACTAATAGTCTGTCATTTCATGAAATTCGATATTGGAACATGGTGTATGTTTATGTGGCAATTTTTGTAGAAAAATCAATTTATATCATACCTAACTAGAATACATTGGGCTGATAATTGAATAGGGTGTTCTCCTAGGAAAAAAACACCTAAAATTCAATCAAAACTGTATTCGTACTTATTCCTATACCAAAGCCGGCGGCTAATTTCATCGATAACAAATTGGAATGATTATACTAAATATTCCTCAATAAGATTACCAAAGAACCTGCTTAACTTCATGAACCATGTAATAAACGACAAAATTTAAATATATCTCTTCAGCATATTCATTGCTGAATTTATTTGTTATACCAGCCGATAGATGGCGGTACAACTACGTTGCTAAGAGTTACTAACAGCCGTCGGCCGAGCGCCAACAAATATGAGCCTCAAACAACTGTTATCATCTTCCATTGGCTATTGCACTGCACCGAACTTATATATTTTCGGATTCGAATTGTTAGCTTATATCTGCAAATAGGTCGGTCATTCTCAGGATTTCAGAATGAAAATAATTCATACCGTGTCATCCATCACTGTCATCAAATAAAAAACATCCTGAAAGTTTCTTCAAGATGTTCCATATCAAGTACCCTGAATGTCTCTGGTACATCCCGTATCATCCCACAAATATTCTGATGGGATGTTTATAAGACATCGCAAATGCTGACAAGAATGACCCAAGGAAAATAGGGATTTTCCAGAGTTGTTCCTATCATCCCATATGGATGGTTCTACGACGTCTTACTGATGTTATTGTGTTATTAGGGCATGCGCATGGTGAGCGATGCCACACTCACTAATTCTTAGAAAACATCTGAACAAAACGACTAAGTTCATCATAGGAAGTGTTTCCAAGATCTCCAAATGCGAAATCTCTGAAATTTTCTGTGTATCATTGGGATGGGTAGTGAGTGTAAGAGAGAGTGAGAAGGTAAAAAAGTGAGAAGAAGAGAGAGAGAGAAAGAGAGATTGGATGGATATTAGTTGAAGGTATGGATGTAAAAAACAGTTGTATGATGTCTTCTGACGAATACAGACGTGCACTAGAAGAATTTGGGTTGAAAGTTAGAAAGCTCAGTGCAGACATCCAATTGTATGAGCAGAAAGTTTGTTTGTTCAAAGATTTCGAGCAATTGAGTGTTTGGGACAAGGTGTTCACAGAACCAAGACGTTCAGTTGCAACGTTTCCTACATCGAGAAGAATCCAACCAACACAGCTACTAGATGGCGATACTGAAAGCAAGCTTCATTCTATTGACAGCTCTGAGCAACAACGTCTTTTACACAAACATACCGTACAATACGAGGAATGCAGCCGTATGTTTTGATGTGAATCGTACACAACAGTGTGATTGGAAGCTGATGCGTAGAATGTATGTCAATGATAACAAACTACCTGTATTTTCAATCGACATGCCTCGAGTCAATGGGACCACCATCGACTACAAATTGAAATTATCGTTTTCTGATGGCAGTGACGGCGAAATGGGAGACTGGCAGACATTTACATTGAAGAAATCACCCGCAAAATTAGATGATGATCAAGATTCTGTCAATATCATTGCAATTTTGACACTTTGTTGTACACTAATATGTTCACTCATTTTAATCTCACATGTTATTTTCATTATACTGAGAAATAAGGGATGTGATGAATAAAAACTCTGAAATTACGATATATAGTTTTTTATTTTGGCAATAAATTACATAACCAATTATATAAAGTATCGACATTGTGGAGACTGCACTGGAA